ATTAATTAAACCCAAATCTCTGCTGGTGGAACCAGAGTGAAAACTCTCCAGGTGACTCTGATGCACTTCCAGGGTTGTGAGCCATTGCTGCCACCACCACTACCACCCCTCTCTCCCCTCCCCTACCTTGCAATGCCGAGGCTGGAACAGACTGAGGCTGTCTGCTATTGGACTGAACTGAAGGGAGAATACCAGAGCCTGGGCCAAGTTCAAACAGATTGTTCAGAGGGATGACTGCAATGGTCAAAGGACAATGTGTGGCAGGTAGGACTACTTCCCTGGCATGGCCATTGGGCCCTTTACTGCCGTAGCACTATGAGTGTGTAGCCTCCTCCAGTCCCCTACAATTCTTTTCTATGCCCAAGACCAAGAGTGCCTGACTCTCCTCATAGGCATATGGTGAAATAAAAACTTGAAAGTTATACTAAGCATATTATGGTTGTCGAATGTGTGACATCATATCATTTTGTGGATCCATAATGTATGGATCACTACTGTATTCTGACCCCCCAGCACAGTGCTTCACATATAATAACTACTCAATAGGTACAGTTTTATTTATCATTATAATTTTTTTAGCAAGAGGGTTGGGGGAGAAGAGTGAGAGAGTGACAGAGAGAGAGAGAGAGAGAGAGAGAGAGACATCTGTGTGAGAGAGAGACATCAATGTGAGAAACATGGATTGCTTGCCTCCTTTACATGCATAAGGCACCCTGATTAGTGATTGAACCCACAACCTAGGCATGTGCCCTGACTGGGAATCTAACCAGTGATCTTTTCATTTATGAGACAACAATCCAACCAACTGAAGCACACTGGCCAGGGCTCAATAGGTATGTTCGAAATGAATAAGTTCAATACAGATAGCGTGTAATAAGTACCACAATTAAGGTACAAAGTGCCATAGGAATACAGAAGATGACAAGATTGTTTTCAGCTTGGGAGATGGAGAATGTGGAAGTCTTCATAGAAGAGGGGGCATCTGAATTGGACTTTAACAGCTGGGTAAGGCAGTGATATGCAGCAATGCAGAGAGGGCATTTCAGGCAGAAGAAACAATGTAAGTGAAGGGCAGATGAAAAGGTGCAGAGCTCATTTTGTGACTGAGCAGCAGTGAGACAGGGCTGGGACACATGTGATGTGATAGCCCATGGTGGGAGAGCAGATCGGAAGGATAGGATCAGAATAGAAAGAGCCTTGAAAGTCATGCTAAGAAGTTGAGACTTGATTTTACAGGCCACGTGGAACCATCTGATGTTCTTGATCATGGGTGTAATATGTTTGCTTTAGGAGGATGAGATGTACACATTATGGCAGCAGTTCTTTCGACAAAGTATTTCTGGAGGGTCTCCTAGGAGCCTGAGCACACTGTGCTAGGGAAAGTTGGATTGGAACTGGGGGTAATGAGTAAGAGATTACTTGGTAAGCCATCTCAATAGTCCAGGCAAGAGCTACTGAGGGCCCAAACTGGCTGAGTGGCAGTGGGGGTAGAAAGGGGAAAGACTTGACATATATTACAGAGATGGAATTGACAGAACTTGGTGACCATTTTAGGTGGGAGTGAAGGAAAGAGAAGACACATTATTACAGCAAAAATAACCATCAACATTTGAACAGCTCCTTTGTGCCACTGTTGTGCAAAGTGCTTTGTGCACATCGTCTAATTCTCACAATAACCCTTTTGATAGATGAGGATACAAAGGCTCCAAGAAGTCAAGGAACTTGTGCAAAGTCAGTCAAGTGGCAGATGGTGGTACTAGGCTTTGAACTCATGTACTCTGGTTCTGGACACCACTCCCTAACCTCCATGCTACGCTGACTTCTGAGGAGTTTGGGGACTTGTGTTTTCTTGGCAAAGGAACTCAGCAGTTAAGTGAGGACAGGTACACTTCTAACTCCTGCTCTCCCTTCCATTTACATGGAAGGCTCTGCCCACCTCCCCACCCTCAGAAGTTCTTCCTGAATGTCTTTCCCTCCCAGGGTGGGAACGCAGGCCTGGGGTAGGAGGTGAGGCTGGTACACTAGAACCAAAAGCTGTGACAAACATGCAAAATTGCTCATCCCCAGGCTATGTGGGGCCTGCTGATGTATTTAGTCCACACAGAGGTTTGTGTATGTGTTTTTTTTTGTTTTGACTTGAGCCAACATTTAGAAATCAGAGAGCTTTGTGTAAAAACCCTGTGTCCTGATGTTCCCTAAAAAATGAGAAATCGTGCAATGCTGGGCCCACATTCCCAAAGACAACCTGGGGCTTGAGCGGCCCCCCTGTAGCCTGCAGGTACCCTGTACTCCTCACCACATGCAACACCAGAGTCTGCACTTGACCCCTCCCTACCTGAGTGACTTCACTCCCACCTCATCCCTGCAGGAGATTGAGTTTGTGATTCCCTGTCTAGAATGGCCTACTACAGAGTCCCCACCCCCATTTATTTTTCCAACACTTGAGCCATCAAGAGGTCAGGCACAGGGTCAGCATCCTCTGGTCCTTCTTCCCGTGGCACTCCCCACCCCCTGCCATCAGCCATAGACTATTTCCTCAGCAGCAGTGCTTGACGCTACAGAACACAACCACAAAGGGAGGGTTATCATCAAGTCTTACCATTTATTTCTTTATGGGGTTAAACAAGAGCAGAGAGGCCTCTGCCCCACAATGCAACAAAACAGAAAGCAGTACACATACAAAGACTCTCACTGAAACACAGAGGCAGGGGAACAAGAACAACTGAATCATAGCTGGGTGGGGGAGGAAGGGACAGGGGACTACTAGGAATCCAGCTTGGAGACTCAGTCATAGAAACTAGTGCAAGAAAGTCCTACGCATGAAGCACAGTGTAGAAAATGGCATAAGAAAGCTGCCCGGCTCTGTTACCTATGGTGGAGGGCAGGGCAGCTTGAGGGGTAGTGTAAGTTAAGATCTGGGTGGTGGGGTGGATAGGGACAGTCAAATGACTTCGAGGTGGAGTGAGGTGCCCCTTTTTCCCTGCCACTAGGCAAGGGCCTGGGCTGGTCTGAGCCAGGGGTCTCCTGGGCACTTGGTGAGGGGGAAGGGGGGATGGGAGTCTCCAAGGGTCTGTTCCCTATAGGGCCCTAAGGTCCCCTTCTCCTTCCCAGTCCCCCTTTCCCCTCCTGAGGATGCAGGAGTTAGAAGGCAGTACCTAGGGTCTTTCATGTCTACATAAGCATCTCTGGAAAGGAGCCAGCACCTCTTTCCTTCCCTGGCTGAAAGAGCACTCTAGGGATTGGGTATGTGGCCAGGCCCGAAATGCTGAGGGCCAAACAGGAGTGTGTGCACAGGGCACATGGGTCGGGGGAAGGGGCACGCTGTGAGAAATGAGGAAACTGGCAGGGGAGGACTGACTCCGCAGTCTCATGAATTCTGCTTGGGACCCAGCTGAGGCCTTTGAATGATTCGCTCTCTGTAAGGAAAGTCTCCCCTTTGTCCCCCAAGCCAAGCAATTCCAGCTCTCCCCTCCTGATGCCCTTCTTGGTTTTACTAATGTGGCTCTGGGCCCACTCTTCCCCTTCACATGCTAGAGCATAGGCTCTTCTGGCACTGAAGTCCCTTGGTCTGTGTCAGGAACACCATTCCAGCTCCCTATTGCCTTTGAGACCTCCCAGGCAATGTGTCCTCCCACTCTCAAGAGATCAGCACAAAGTTAATGGCCCCCAGAGGGCTCTTGATGTCTCTTTTCTTGCTTAGCCCTCTAACCTGGCTAAAGAGTTCAAGTCTGTCACGCAGTGATGATGACAGCACATTCTCTGTATTCAATGGGTCCTTTTGCCCATTTCTGATGTTCTCCAGCAAAGGACAGGGGTGACTGGATCAGGGGACCCACTATGGGGTGAAAAGGGGGTCTGGCTGTTCCACAATTGGGATAGTAACCCATATGGGGTCAGGGATGGGAAGGAACAAATACTCTTTGGTAGGCTGGGGATGGGGACAGGGTGGGGATAGGGGAGGCTCATCTCTGGAAAGCCCTGGTGCAGTGCCACCAGGTTCTCCTTCATGGAGGCCTGGGCTAGGATGAGACAGGGGAGTACAGGGACTCAGGCCAGGCCTGACCCACTTGGGCTTAAGTCCCCCCTCCCCATGGAGATCAGAAATGGAAATGTCTTTGGCCCCAAGGCCAAGATCTCCAGGGCAAGAGTGGCCCTTGGGAGTGTGTGCACCTTCTGTAAGATATGGCCCTTCGGACAGTGGCAGTCTGACATGTGCCCTCAGCCCTCTGTGTTGAGGCTGCACTCTTTGCCTAGAGGGCTCCTTATCCCACCCTTGTGGATTTGGGGAGCAGTTCTTGAGCCTGCCTCAATGCTGATCAGCCACCTCCCCAAAGCCAGATAGTAATAACCTGTTTAGCTACATCTCTCTGAGCCCTCTGTCCATAGCTCTGTTCTCCCCCTTCCCTATCCCACTCTCTAAGTACTCAATCTGTCCCCCATTCCTACCCTTCACTGCCTGGGCTGGTGGTGCACAGTTGAACTGGGGTCCTGACCCAGCTGCACCTGTGTATACCTCACCTCCCAGTCTAGCACTTCCCACTGGAGGAGGGCCACTGCACCGTCTGCCGTAGCCTGTAGGGGTGTGGGCAGAAGGGAATTAAGGATCTTGGCAACAAAAGGAATGTGGAGGGAGGGAAAGAGCTTCTCCCCTCTGGGCCCCCCAACATTTTCTGCAGGGCCAAGGCTGGGTGACCAGCCTCCTTCCCTGGGGTCAGGGCTCTTAGCAAGGGTAGGCATGTCCAGCCCCTGCTCTCCCCCTTTTTGTTTACTATGCCCCGTGGATGGGGGCCTAGGAGGGGGTGCCTGGTGCTCTGGCCTTTTTCTCCTGGATGAGTTTTGCAGCTCCCTGGGGCCCTCTGGCCCTTCTGTTGGAGCTGCTTTTGGGGTGAGGATAGGCTGGGGACAATGTGTAGTTCCCCATTTCCCCAGCCCCCCATCTGGTTCTGTATCTCCCATGGGAGGTGCCCCCTCCCCATCCCCCTGGGGGAGCTGGAGCTGATGTCAGTGTGTGGTGGAGGTCTGTCCTCCCTCTCTGCCATCACTCTTCCCGAGTCAGGCCCTCATCTAGGGCAGGCAGTGCCTCCAGCCCCAGTCCTCCACCACTCTGGCTGCTGGAGAAGGACACCATGGTATGGAGGAGCATGAGAACAAGGACATAGAACCGGATCCTGCTGGGGCTGAGGCGGGAGCCCCCAGAGACCGGCAGCAGGGAGGGCTTGTGGCCAATGTGGCCTGGGGGGTCATGGCGGGGGTGGTAGTGGTGGTACTGTTGGTGGTAGTGGTGGAAATAGGAGTGGTGGAACTGCTGGTGGTGGGTTTTGGGGGCCTCAGACTCCTTGAACTTCTTCTTCTCCGACTCACAGGAGACCCACTGCACGTCACAGCACTTGCTTTCCGGCCGCTTGGGTGAAGTATCCAGCAACCCTGCCAAGGGATAAGGAAGGTGTGGTGGGGAGCTCAGGGGGCTGAGGCCTGTGCCACTTCTAGCTTTTCAACACTGGCACCGACTGCTGTGGGAGCAATGTCCAGACTCCCTTCCCCCTGCCCCTCATTAGACTCTTCTGTACCAGGGCCGCAGACGGTTGCTCTGGGATGACTCCCCATACAGCCATGTTTTAGATGGAGAGGGCCATTCCACTCATTGCCCTTATTCCACTTCTGATATCCCAACCTGGGGACCTTACTGCCCACTCCTCCTCCACACATTAACCTTCTTCAAACCTGACTTCCCTGTTGTCCTCCCTGCTACCACACCCCAGACCTGCTGCCTGCCCTGGGCCCGGCCTCCTCCCTCCTCCCCAGGGCCCTGCCTTTACCTGTACAGATAAAGCCTGGGAGCCCTCCATACACCATTTCCTCATTGTCGGGGAGTATAAAGGGACACCGGGTCTGCACCTCCAGGCAGTACTGCTTGCAGGGCACCCAGCGCTCACATTCCTGCTGGGTCACGCTGAAGTATTCTGAGCACAGCCAGGCCTTGTAGACAGCCTGTGGGAAAAGGAAAGAGTGTCAGCCGAGGCGTCAGCCCCTTCCCATCTCAGAGGGAAGGGATGAGGAGGGGTGGACTTGTAGTCTATGGGGGTGGGGATGGGCTCACCAACCTGACCCCAGGATCCAGGAGGAGAGGAGAAGAGTTTGGGTCGCAACCACTCCATTGTACCTTAAGATCCCCCATCGCATAGCCAGGACTTCAGAGTCCCTAAGGCTGCAATCATCCAAGACTTAGAATGTGTTTACTGGCAAAAATCACAAAATTACTCCTATGTCTGAGCTGGAAGGTGCCTTACCAATTATCCCATGCAACCCTACCATTTTACAGCTGGCCCAAAGAGGTGTCCTGACTCGTCCGAGGTCACCTATAATGTGGTCAATTTTACTTCTATTCAATTCAACAAACATTTCTTTGGCTGATGATGGTAATTCAAGAAAGAGATCAAATAATCCTTGCTCTACCTCATTAGGGTGTTGTGTGGATGAAATACTATGATGCATAGGTAAATATTTGGTAAGCTTCAAAGTGTAATACAAATGTGAGAGGTTATTTTTAATAAAAACAGGAATCTGCCTTACTGGGCACCACATGTACATTTAAGCTTTACTTAATCCATGCTGATCCCTGGCAGGGCAGGGCACATGCCATGTTTCATATGGAACTTTTGCTGTAGCTCATAGGTATACTTCCTGTCCCTTATCTAGCCCACTGCTGTCAGGTACTAGGTCCTAGTTAAGAAAGGTTCTCTGCTCTATACTCTTTGGGTATCATCAAGCCTTGAGTTTCTCAACAGCGACACTACTGATATTTTAGACTGGATAACTCTTTGTAGTAGAGCCCTGTGCTCTGTGGATATTGAGCAGCATCCCATGCCTGTACCTAGTAGCTGCCAGTTGCAACCACACACCCTGATTGTCTCAAAAATGTCTCCAGCCATTGTTGAATGTCTCCTGGGGGGACAAAGTCATATCCTACTGAGAACCACTGACCTAGCCCCTTGCTACAGAAAGTATGGACCTGGGCCAGCAGCAATAACCACCTACCTAGAAGCTTGTGAGAAGGGGAGAATCAATCCTAGGCCCTGCCCCAGACCCAAGTCAGCACCTGCATTTCTAAAAAGATTTTATGTATTTATAGATTATATGTATGTATAGAGAGGGGAAGGAAGGGAGGAGAGGGAGATAAACATTGATGTATGAGAGAAACATCGATTGGTTGCCTCTTTTTTTAAAATTTATTTATTTATTTATTTATCTTTAGAGGGGAAGGGAAGGAGAGAGGGAGAGAAACATCGATGTATGGTTGCCTTTCATGCGTCCCCTGCTGGGAAGTGGCCTGCAGGGAACCGGCCTGCAACCCAGGCATGTGCCCTGACTGGGAATCGAACTGTGTTTGTCTGGTTCGCAGGCCCACGCTCAATCTACTGAGCTACACCAGCCAGGATTGGTTGCCTCTTGTAGAGCCCTGATGGGGAACCAAACCCACAACCCAGGCATGTGCCCCTGACTGGGAATCAAACCATGACCTTTCATTTTGTAGGATGATGTTCAACGCACTGAGCCACAGTTGGAGCCAGTGCCTGCATTAAAAAAATATTTCATTTATTTATTTTTAGAGAGGGTCAGGGAAGGAGAAAGAGAGGGAGAAAAACATCGTTGTGCAAGAGAAACATTGATCAGGTTGCCTCTAGCACGCCCCCAACCTGGGACCTAGCCCGAAACCCAGGCATGTGCCCTGACTGGGAATGGAATTGGTGACCTTTTGGTTTGCAAGCCAGCACTCAATCCACTGAGCCACGCCAGTCAGGGCAGCACCTGAATTTTAACAGGATGCTCAGGCAACTCTCACAGTTGGGGTTAGAGCCCTGCTGACACTCAGCCACCATCTCTTCAGGGGCAGCTTCTCATAGTTGCTCCTCACAGCAATGGTTCTCAGACTTCCACAAGCCTCAGAATCCCTTGTGGCACTTGTTAAATATGCAGCAGGTCCTCAATTCAGGTTCAAGAGGACTGAGGTAGGCTCAGACATCTGCATTTTGAACAAGGGTCCAGGTCATTCTGCTGCCAAAGGCCTTCCAACCATGCTCTGAACAACATGGTCAGAGCATCTCATACCAACTTCAAACATTTACACTAAAATACAAGTAACTCCATTGTGAACACTCTAAGTCTGGCAATGTAATTCCATATTGGCCTTTTGCAGAGCCATTGGTGATGGGTGGTAATGGGTTGTGGTGCAAATCAACCCTGTGAGGAACAAAGCATTGTTTGGGACTTTGATATCTCACTGGTGTCTGAAATTTAACATGCTCTAAATCTTAAAATGAAATTCTTGATTTTTTTTACTCTAAATCATTGCTTTCATCTCCAAGTCTTGACCATTTCAGGCCATGCCCACCCATTCAGGTGTCCAAGCTGGAATCCTAGGTATAAGCCTTCAGTGTTCATTTTCCCTACATCCCCCCACACAGTCCATCCACAAGGCATACCAATTCTTGTTCCACTGCCACAGCTCTGTGCAGGCCACTGGCATTTGTCACCTGGATGACACTTTCCTAACTGGCCTCCCTGTCTCTAGCCCTTGATTTTTCCAACTCGATGTTCACACAGGAGTAAGAGTGACCTCAAAACATGCCTGGTGTCATGTTAGTCCCTTACTTCAAACTCTTCAAAGCATTTAAGACAAAACCCCAACTTTGGGCCACAGACTTCAAGCCCCTATATAACTGGGCCCCTCTGTCTCTCCAGCCTCATTTTCTGCCTCTCCCTTCAAGCTCATCACGCTCTGTCAACATGTGGAGGTTTTCTTTCTTTTCCTTGAGGATGACCTACTTCTTCCCACCTCAGAGACTTGGCACATAGTGTTCTCTTGGCTAGGAATTCTCTTCCTGCTGCTTTTGACCTCCTCAGTTCTCATGCCTCAGTTCAAATATCACCTCCTCAGAGAGGGTCTTCCCTGACCACTCTCTGAGGCTCCCCCTCATTATTCTTTTTAAACTGTTCACTACAAGGATGACTTTGGCTGTATCTTTGCTTTATGTTTTTCTGCATGAAAACAGACATGGGCTTGTCTAATGGACTGCTGTGTACTCAGCACAATATACATGAAAACTGTCTGCTGATTGAATGCATAGGATGAATAAATGAGGACAGGTCCCTACTGTCAGAGAAATTCCAGATTCATGGGTAGACACACTGAACTTGAACCTCTGCCATATGTGCCATATGATCCATACCATAGGACAGGTTAAACCATTGGTCATTGGAAGGGAGCAAATACAAAAGTTGGGGGAGATTTCAGTGAGGGAATAATAGCTGAGCAAGGACTCACAGTAGGATTTTAGATGGTTGGGTAGAGATGAAACAAAACAGCATTCCAAGCTGAGGCAACAGCTTCAACAAACTATGAAGGTGAGTGAACTCATGGTGTGCTAAGAGAACAGAGAACGATTTTGTATGAATGGACTGGAAATGGTACCAACTCCTGTGGATAGACATTTAAGTTATTGCCAAGTTTTCACTATTACAAACAATGCTTCAGGAAATATCTTTTGTACACGTCTCTTGGATGCCTGCATTACATTTTATTTATGTGAACTAAAAGTGAAATTACTGGGATAAAAGGCATGTGCAAAAGCACGAGAAGTAAGTGAAATGAGAGTGGAAAAAAAACACATGAAGGTAACAGGCAGGGTAGAAGACAGCTGGAGGGGTCAGAGGTGCGGCCAAAGGTAGAAGAGAGTGGCAGTAGGGTAAGGGGTACAAGGCAGGATGTAAGAAAAAGTAGGGGGTTGGAGGGCAGGAAATGGTGCTGATAACAGGGGTAAAAAAAGAGGGTTAAGGAGAAAGAGGGGGGAATAAGAGAGGGAGGGTGTAAGGGAAGTGAAGAGGCGGGGTGTGGGTGAAAGGAGATGAATGTAAGAAAGAGCAGGGGGTGGACTTCCGCCAAGATGGAGGCATAGGTGGGAACACTTTTCATCCTCACACAACCAAGTCTAAAAACAACAAAGTTTTAACAATAATAAACACAATCAAACCACACAGAAAATCGAATACGGAGTCCGGAAACAATGGACCACTCAGCTAAACTGGTGAGAGGGGCGAAACCAGCAGCAGAGCCAGTGGGGCAAAAAAGATCCGGGCGGTGCACAGGCAGCTGGTGGCGTGGATCCCAGGTGCGGGCTAGCTATGGGCGGAACCCAGGGAAGAGGCGCTGCTGGCTGTCTGCAGTGGGTCGCGAATTTGCAGGCAGATAAACCAGTGAAGAGGTGAGCTTTGAGACAGATGTCGCAGGCCCCAGCGACAGGTGCAGGGTGGTAGACTCGCACATTTGCGCTCGCATAAGCAGGTGGGGGCGAGTGGTGAGGCAGACTGGGCAAGCAGAGAGCACCACCAGTGCTCCCTCTCTGACCCCGCCCCCACATACAGCGTCACAAACCTGCGACCTGGGTGGCCCCACCCCGGTAAACACCAAGGCGCCTCTCATCCTTTGTAACAGGCATGAACAGATCAAAACATGGCTCAAGAACAACTCAGAGCCCCAGAGCCGATAAATCTAAGCAATGAAGAAATAGCCAAACTTTCAGATGCACAGTTCAAAACACTGGTGATCGGGATGCTCACAGAACTGGTTGATTTTAGTCACAAATTAGAGGAATATATGAAGGCTAAACTAATTGAAATGAATGGAAATGCACAGGAAACCAATAGTAATGGAAAGGAAACTGGGACTCAAATCAAAGGAGTGGACCAGAAAGAGGGAAAAAAATGACCAAACAGAAAAGGATGAAGAAACAAGAATTCAAAAAAATGAGGAGAGGCTTAGGAACCTCCAGGACATCTTTAAATGTTCCAACATCTGAATTATAGGGCTACCAGAAGGGGAAGAGGAACAGCCATGAGTGGAACACATATTTGAACAAATAATAAAGGAGAATTTCCCCAAGCTGGCAAAGGAAATAGACTTCCAGGAAATACAGGAAGCTCAGAGAGTCCCA